CCCGCCCCTTAAAAAGAAAAGAACATGAAAAAAACATCCAACCAAATAAACAAACAAAAAAAAACAACCAAAAAAAAACACACACATACTACATAGTCACACACTCACACACTCGCTTGCATTTTCCCAAAAAAAATTTCTGTGGTTTTTTGGTTTTTGAAGTAGAACACATTTATTATACTAACATTTGAAAATAGAAGCCTTTTTCAAAATGCCAACAGGACCATGAATACAATCATTACTTTTTAAATGTTGAATTGTTTCAGCTTCGGGGAATTGTTTGGGGCAGGGTCTGGAGTGGGATATGTTTTAAAAATTGATATACCAACCACCCTGGTTTAATAAAAAAAATGCTATTCTTAAAAATTATTCAAAATCACTAAAGTATTATATTATTCTCATACTTATAACTCAGATGAAACAAGTAACAACGGTCTTGCTTTGAAAAAAAACAAACAAACACAATTTAAAACTTAGATTGTTTAAAGAGCAATCCCAAAGATTTTTAGAAGCAAGTTAACATCCTACTGAAAATAAGCCATATAACAAAGAAAGTTAACTTCAGTAACAGTCGCGAAGTTAGTATGAACTATTTTAAGGACATATTATGTTTATTGAATACTTTTGGTAAATTGTTCTAATTCGTTCTCAACAACAACAAAAGAAAAAGAAACGGAAAAATCCAACGACAAAGAAACAAAAAAACCCAACCCAAAACGAAACAAAAAAAAAAAAAAAAACAAACAAACTACCGCCAGCAATGGTGTGATGAAAGTAAATTTGATCTAAGCCTGGTGGAAGAGCCTATATAATATTATGTTTAATAGACATTTGATTGAGACGGCAGAAAAAGAAGCTGTGGATAATGTTTTCTGAACAGTCTCGACTGATCTGGACCAATATACACTATTTTGGAAAACACATATCAACGTGTGTTTTCATCTGGTAAAGTTTTCTCAGACGAAAGAGGGCCATTAGAACATTACTGGATATATCCAATGTACAGCTGGTATTAAACTAGGATGCATTCTTAGAACCATATGATTTTCTCTGTTCATTTTTTAACCCAAAACGCACCTTTTAAAATAAAATAACCAATCTATACAGCATGCTATGTGCGTGTAATGGACTAGTGTCGACGATGGCATTTATTCATGTTGTGTTTAATGTATTATGTACGCTAATGATCTATGCTATGTCTTTTTAGCAACGAAGTCAGAGATTTAAAGGAGAACCACAAAGTTGCGTGTTTTCTGTCAGTTACGGGGTAAGTGAATACTGAGAAAAGTAAGAATGTTGTATTTAGGAATGTAGGCTATCTCAAAACGTCTCGGAGATCGTATTGGAAGAGTCAGATCTTAAAAACAGAAACCTAATATGACTAATTAATTTTTAAGCGGTTCATTTTAAACACGCCTATGCTGGAGACGAACGCCAGAAGAGCAAGAAGTAAGCAGCAAGCAGGCAAGCAGATAAATAAGTAGGTAATTCAATAAGTAAGTAAGTAAGTAAGTAAGTAAGTAAGTAAGTAAGTAAGTAAGTAAGTAAGTAAGTAAGTAAGTAAGTAAGTAAGTAAGTAAGTAAGTAAGTAAGTAAGTAAGTAAGTAAGTTAGTAAGCGAGTAAACAAGCAAGCAAAAAATCAATCAATCAAACAAACAAACAAAAAACAAGCAAATAAATAAGCAAGCAAGCAAGCAAGCAAGCAAACAAGCAAGCAAGGATGTAATCCAGCAAGCAATCAAGCAAATAGGTAAATCGAGCAAATAAGTAAGGAAGCAAAATATTACTCTAGTACATAAGTAAGTAATTAAGTAAGTTTACAAATTGTTTTATAGCCTTGGCCACATTTCATCTCCCAGACACGATCTCAAACGAGGCCTGCTGGGCCGGGCAACCGCAAGGGTTCGCGTCGTTGTAGCAGACAGGCAATGGCGCACAGCAGAAACCAGGGCGCAACTCTCCCGCTCTGCATCGGGCGTCGAGGTCCTGGCGCCGCCTTACTGCTTGACTCTGATGAGGAATCAGAAAAATATTCTTCACGTTCTGATGAGGATGATAATAACAATAATAATAATAGTAGTAGTTACAGGAACAACAATAATAATAACAATGATAATAATAATAAAAATAACAATAATAACAACAACAATAATAATAATGATAATAATAATAATCATAATAATAATAATAATAACAATAATAATAACAATAATGATAGTAATAATAATAAAATAATTAAAAAGATAATAATAATAATAATAAAAGTAATAACAACAACAATAATCATTATCATCATCATTATTATCATCATCGTCGTCGTCGTCGTAGAATTTAAAATAATAATGATAATAATAAAAATAATAATAATAATAATAATAATAATAATAATAATATTAACATTACTATCAAATGATGATGCCGATGACGATAACATCAACACTGATAATATCAGGTGGGAGTGCAAAACACGGCAAACGTTTCTTGTCCAGAATTCTTCTCTTCGGCCACAGTGGAAGCCACAAGTCATCTTAACCTTTAATTCTTCAAATTCTTTCATTTTAATGGGGAAATATTCTACTATGCGGATGTATCATTTATTGTCAGACGTTGACGGACGAGCTATTAATAATGAATTACATTTATATTATGGTGTCAAAACGAAACTTAAAAAAAATGTAATCACACAATTATATTGTTGTGTTATAGACTTGCACTACCCATTCATGCAGCATACCAGTTTAAAGCTAAATGAATTCTGCTTCATGTGACATCTGAATAGTTCATCTATGTTTAGAGACGTCCTATGTAATAATAAAGTCACCCAAAACTGACCTTAAAAAATCAGGCTTGGCAAAAGTGTGCGAAATCAACGAAACGTAAAGCTGTCTTCGTGCGTGTATTGAGGAGTATTAATTGATAGAAATCGACATACAATGCAAGTCCAATGAAATGATAATTTTGTCTCTGCATAAAACAGTATTTTATTTTGATACTTTCAAAGATAACGGAAAACAGAGCAATCTCAAATATCACGCAAAAAACAATCGCGAAGCTTAGTGTGTTTAGGAGTCATTGGTTTTGTGAAGGGTGCGACCCCTTTGAGCAACGGTTCTTTTACAATTTGGACCTAATTATCTGTCATTTCATCCCAAATGTCACAGACAGTTCCATACAAAGGGTGTGAATTGGGAGCAAAGTCAATTTTCTTCAGCCGCTGTTTCACGGGACTTCACATACCTGTAGGAATCGTATTGGGGCTATTTATTGGTGACCCCTTCAAGGTTTATTTGATTTAATTTGTTTTTCCAAAAATTGTCTAGTGGCATTGGTCATGTGAAAAAGTGCTTTGATCTGAATGGAGATGTCTTCTTGAATAACATCATGAGGAAGATAGAGTAAAACAAGATGTTTCAGCACTTGTGCGATGTATCCACTAAACTTCTACGAGTGCAGTTTTGTTTACCCAACCCCAGACCACCCAAAATCATAGTAGATTCGTGGCTTCCGTTCCTCACTGAGAGATGATTACTCCAAATTCTAAGTGACAAAGTCTATGTGCATAAAAATGTTCGTGCTCTGCACGAAACCATTAGCTCTTAAACAAAACCAAAATCGTACTAATGAGCATAATATTATGTTAAGTCTAGGTTTTGCATGACTTTTTTGACTAATCTGTTTTCTGATATGTTTTAAAATGGCATCAGAATAATATGCTGTTCATCGCAGAGACAGTAATATTCTCTTTTCATTTTGTATTCAATCCATGTCCTTTATGTTGATTTACCTCAATGCACACGCGAATACACTTTTACCTTTCTTTAAATTTGCACAATTTTGCCAAGCCTGATTTCTTAAGGTCAATTTTGAGTGACAATATTTCTGGTATCTTTTAACATAGATGAAATATTAATGTGTCAGATGGTGCAGAATTTATTTAGCCTTAAATTGGTAGGCTGTTGATTGGGTAGTGCAAGGCTATAACACGATGATTGGGTGATTACATTTTCAAGTTTCTTTTGGACGCCCCTGTAAAGCGCTCTATCCTATACGAGTATAACATAATATTTTAAAAACTCCCTTTATAAATTATGTAGTATTGCATCTGATGTTACGATTCTTTTGCTACCAATGAGGACATATTTCAATATAAATTTATTATACCCAGAGGTACCATACCAGCATAAGATACAATGTCTCTTTGTCGATGCATGTCCTTGGCTACGAAAGTATCGTAACTTGGAGTTGCTATATTGTTTTGTATGAAAAATAGATTTGCATTTGGTTTCTAAAGTATAGTCAGTAAAGATACGTACGATACACTCTCAATTGTGTTTCAATAAACTTACGATACTTCAGTACAAGGGCATAACTTTTATATTTATACTGGCTTATGGTACGCAGTTTAGACACAATTTGCGCATCAGAAAACAGTTTAACGTAATCTTTTAATGCACAAATATCTTAACTCAAGTTATGGTAGTTTTCAAACCCAGGCTCGATATGAACTTGTGCGCACACAAACAAACACAAACAAACAAACACACACACACAAACACACAAACACACACACACACACACACACACAAACAAACACACACTCAAACACACACACAAAAATTAACACACAAACACACACACAAACACAGACACAAATACACACAAACACAAATGCTCACACACAATCAAACTAGCACACACACAATCAAACAAACACAAACCAAACTAACACACACAATCAAACAAACACACACTCAAACACATACACACTCAAACACATAAACACGTAACCACTCGAAGCTGAACAAAAACATTACGTCCGACGTAGACTGCGTAGATCCTTGTCCTCATGCAGCCGACGGTTTCGGCAAACTTGAACAAGATGGCCTCCTTCAGGTGCTGTCTGCTGATGAGCATGTTGTAGCTGTGGACGCAGTCCTGGTCCTGGGACTCGTAGGAACCGCCAACCACATCCCTGGGGAGAGTATGCAAGTTCGTAAGTACGTTAACACGTAAGTAAAGAAGTAAGTAAGTAAGTAAGTAAGTAAGTAAGTAAGTAAGTAAGTAAGTAAGTAAGTTAGTAAGTAAGTAAGTAAGTAAGTAAGTTAGTAAGTAAGCAAGTAAGTAAGTAAGCAAGTAAGTAAGCAAGCAACTAAGTAAGTAAGTATGTAAGTAAGTAAGTATTTAAGAAGTAAGTACATAAGTAAGTAAGCAAGTAAGTAAGTGAGTAAGTGAGTGAGTAAGTAAGTGAGTAAGTAAGTAAGTAAGTAAGTAAGTAAGTAAGTAAGTAAGTAAGTAAGTAAGTAAGTAAGTAAGTAAGCAAGCAACTAAGTAAGTAAGTATGTAAGTAAGTAAGTAAGTATTTAAGAAGTAAGTACATAAGTAAGTAAACAAGTAAGTAAGTGAGTAAGTGAGTGAGTAAGTGAGTAAGTAAGTAAGTAAGTAAGTAAGTAAGTAAGTAAGTAAGTAAGTCAATAAGTCAGTAAGTAAGTAAGTAGGTCTGTCAGTAAGTCAGTAAGTAAGTAAGTTAGTAAGTGAGAGAGAGAGAGAGAGAGAGAGAGAGAGAGAGAGAGAGAGAGAGAGAGAGAGAGAGAGATAGATAGATAGATAGATAGATAGATAGATAGATAGATAGATAGATAGATAGATAGATAGATAGATAGACAGACAGACAGACAGATAGATAGATAGATAGATAGATAGATAGATAGATATATAGATAGATAGATAGATAGATAGATAGATAGATAGATAGACAGACAGACAGACAGACAGACAGACAGATAGATAGATAGATAGATAGATAGATAGATAGATAGATAGATAGATAGATAGATAGATAGATAGATAGATAGATAGATAGATAGATAGATTGATAGATAGATACCACAATACCCCAGAATTGTCCTACACACCAGATGGACAATACAAAGGGTTTCAGTAAGTTCCTTGTACAGAACGTCAAGTTGTATGTTTGACCGACAAGTAACTTCGAGTTTGGGATTCCCTGCTCCAGTCTATAAGTCACCCCGCCAAATTCCAGAGTTGCTTTGGAGAGATCTGGGGGATGGATATCGAAGAGGAGTATTTTGGTTATCTATCTATCTATCTATCTATCTATCAATCTATCTATCTATCTATCTATCTATCTATCTATCTATCTATCTATCTATCTATCTATCTATCTATTTATATAACTATCTCTATCCATTTATCTATCTATCGGTAGCCTAGTGGTTAGGCTACCGGACTCGTAATCGTGAGATTGCGAGTTCGGGGGTTCGAGCCTCAGCTCGGTCCGACGTGGTGTCCTTGGGAAAGGCACTTTGCACGAACTTCCCACTTGGCTCGGTCCTATAGGAGACGGACGTTAAACTAGGAGGTCCCGCCCCTTAAATAACCTAGTAGTGTTGATAGGGGCGTTAAACATATACCATTTCACGATTTTTCACCATCTATCTATCTATCTATCTATCAATATTGGAAATAAAAACTTCCTTTAATTTCATGATAAAAGTACAATTCTAAAGATATAATTGAAATCGTAGAAACAATTTAGATCCGTAAGCACTTGTCACAAAACTACGATTATTATCCGTTTTGATCACTTCACGCAGATCTGCGACAGGTCCGAGCGAGAAGTCCGTTGCAGTCACCTTCCTCGCTGGGTGACCAGATAGAGCATAGTTTCGAACCTGCCTGCAGGGCTCAACCAAACTGAAAGGGATTATCATCATCACCAAGTGCCAGATCTGCGGTAGACATCCGCGATCATGGTTCTCCATTCATTCCTTTGCTCGGATGCTCTTAAAAAGCTACATTTTCCTGATCTTTCCTCGTAACCCATTTATTTAGGTTTCCTACGTAAGTTGCTTTTGGCCTATACCTGCCTCGTTCGCCTTCAATTTTGCCAGTGAGAGCTAAATGTTCAAAAT